GCAATTTTGATTATATATTTGAACTTGCAAATTGCAAATTCAGAACTGTATTCTTGGGATCCCAGAGAGAGACTATGATGATAGAAAATCACACTTTTTCTGACATTTATGTTTAGGTCTGTCCCTCAACAGGTAAATATTCCTGCCATTCATCCAACTGAATGCATAGAAAACCTCTGGTACCATTCTGGTCTTCTTTCCATTTCTCTAACTTTGAATCATGAATCTAGGAATTGACATACAGTAATTGATATCCAAACCCCTCTCTTCCAAGATACTTTCCTGGTTTTTTTCTGGGAAAGCACAGACCTGGGAAACATCCAGTGCAGAGCAGGTTTATCTATTAGAAATCAACAAACTGGCTTACAAATGATTTTTAGAATAATGTAGGTTCAGACTGTGTCTCCAGCTATGTTATGAGGGTCTATCTGTCAAAAGGTAATGTAAATGAAAATCTCGTTGGCTTAGGTTCTGGAGGATACAAATTATGGAATTTCATGCCACAACCTCTTGCTTATGAAGCCAGAAATTGTGAGTAAAGGGAAAGGAAGGCCCCCGTGCGTTCTTCAGAGACCTGGGCAGTAGCACACACTGACCTTTAATCAGAGAAAAACAGGCTCACGGTGCTAGTCCCCCCAAATAATTTATTAGCCCCCATATTCCCCTCAGACTTTGGAACTCTGCCACAATGAGAGATATGCTGTTGCCCACCTATCCCTTTCCTTGCCCCCACAGAATCAGTACCCTCTGCTAGGAGGTGAACATCTATGCTCTCAATAGTTGACAGAGAGCTACTTAATCATGGCTTGCTTTATTCCTTGATGACTGTGTGGTGGGGAAGCTGTCATAAACAGTTTGCAATCAATTATTTATTTATTTGTTTTTTAAGTCCAACAAAACATCCAGTCGGGTTATCATATCCTAGGATAAAAGCAGCTGTCTTTTCAGCATGCTATGAATCTTGGAGAACTCAGTATCTGTCTCCTGCTAGGATATGATTTACATTCTCCCCATCTGCTGGGAACCTAATTATAATAGGAATCAAAATGAAAACATTTCCAGAATTATTTAAATACCCATAACTTTGCTATACTTTGTCCTCCATATTATATTACACATAATTCCTCTCAGCTCAGTGAACATGTTAGCGGTTTTGTTTTTGTATCTTGGGTGCCTTTTAAAAATAAATAAATAAATAAAGTGAAGATGATTGCCATGAAAACGCACTAATACAGTGCTTCTAACTCTATTATTTTTAAATGTTTTGTTGAGCACTATTGACAGCTGCTGCTCAAGTCAACAATAAAAAATATTACTTCAATACTGTCTTAAAATCAGATTTTAAAAATGTTTTGATTGTGTACAGTGGCATGGAAAGAATAAAGAGAGGGTGTATGTGTGTGTGTGTGTGTGTGTGTGTGTGTGTGTGTGTACAGATTTTCCTGTTTTTTCTGCAAGAAAATATTATTTCCACAGTAGACATTATATTCCTATCTTTCTTTTAGTGTTTTCAGGAGAAAATATAGGAAATTTAGCAAATAATACCAGAGAAGATACTTTAAGTAAGTGGCCAGTACCTTTTTTTTTTTTTTTTTTAAGAAAAGTAAACATTACCAAGGATTCAAACCCACTATAGAAAATGCAACTTTGCTTAAGGGCTGGACTTTGAGCTTATCTCTCTCTAGCCCTCAAGTCCAAGGGCTTATGTTATACTGTAATTATTTAATTATTTAAATTTTCAATTTTAGAAAATAAAAAATGTCCCCAGTTAGTTAAGAGCACCTGATCACCTCTGATCTCTGTGTTATAGTTACTTTCATTGAAAGGGATGATGCAAAGTCACTCTACAAGAATTTATTGGTGCCAGGTGCTGTGGTGCACACCTCTAACCCCAGTGACTTTGAGGCTGAGACAGGAAAATTGCAAATTCCGAGCCAGCCTCAGCAACTTAGTGAGGCCAGAAGCAATTTAGCAAGACCCTATGTCTAAATAAAATTTAAAAAGGGCTGGAAATGTGTCTCAGTGGCTAAGGGCCCCTGGGTTCAATGCCTATATCAAAAAAAGAAAAAAACTAAAAGAATTTATTGGTTTGGAGAAGAGAGTCCATTTGAGAACTAGCCACAATGAGAATGGAGAAAGAAAACACAGGGCAAAAGATGAGGAGGCCCTAGGAGGTCAGGCAGGAGATGAGGGTTAACACATCAGGCATCCAGAAGCCACTGGAATCCCCCCAGACAAAGAAATGATGGCATGAAAGCAGAGTTCTTAGGTGATGTGATCATTGTCTCCTGCCCATGATTAAAGGAAAGAGAGCATCCACAGTGCTGCCCTGCAGAATGCCAACCAAGCCCTTCCTGAAGAATGGTGAGTAGGTTACTGCAGTTAGCTATTAATGAGGTGTAATGAAGAAAGGAAAAACTGAAGAGTGGCTGTGGGAGAGAGACGGCGATGATTAATTTTCAAAAGGTAAAGTTGGCAGAGAAGTCAAGGCCAAATAAAATTATTTTGAGTGCTTATCCTTTAATGCCAGGAATTGATGATAATGAGATAAATATCAGAGATGTAGTTATTAGAGCCCTCCTCAGAGGGATGGCACTTGGGCATCTCTGAGCAGATGGGATTTCGGTGGAGTGAGAAGACAGGAGGCTGAGATGTGAAGTAGGAATTGGCCATGATTAGCCATGGGTTACAAAGTGGAAAGAGACTCAGGAGGAGAAGCAGGGAAAGAGACAGGTTAGATGGCAAGGAGAAATGATATCACTTGTGCTTATAGAGTGGGTCCCGGTGAAATGTCATTGTTGAGTGTCTTAGGGAAAATGACTTTCTCTAAAGATTACCAGGAAGCCCCACTGGTCAGAAGTGGCCTCTGTTGCCCTGTCTACTGCCAGGAGAGAAAGAGAAGAGATCAGAAATAAAACTTTCTATATTGAGAGAATATGGGCAAGAGGTGCCATCCAATGGACTTGGGCCATCTTGCCAGTGCTGCAAGCAAGGTTTGGTGCATCTGAAAGCTTCCTCAGTGACCCTTAGCTCAGAGGCTCCCCAGCATTTCCCTCAAATAAACCCACAGTGGGGTGTTTTTCAGTATTTCCCACTTCTAAGAGAACTTCAGATCCACTGGAGCTTCATTAGAAAATCATTTTGGTCAAGAAGTCAGAAAGCATTCAAGATATTTCAACTAAGACATTTAATCAAGGGATTTAGATGCTTAAAACAAAACAAAACAAACATTGAAGAGCCCAAGGAGTTGAGGATAGAGAAAGCCACTAGTGATATTAGGAAGCCAACAAGTTGGAGAATTTGAGGAAGCAAGAGCACTAAACCAGATGGTTCTGGAGGGAATGTCCACATGCCCCTGCAAGCCTCAGCACGCTGCCTGCTGGTGCCCTGAGCCCTGCCTGCTGAGGTCAGGGGAGCAGTGAAGGCTTTTGTGCCCCCTCTCCCTTCTACGTCAAACATGAGGGCCTCTCCTTAGCAGAATGTGAAGTCTTTGAGAGCAAGGGGATGTATAAAATGTAGTTTTTAGACTTCCAGCCCCTGCTGGGTAGAGAATTGAAAAATGTTAAGAATAGGGTTGCATAGCTCCAGCCCATGTCTCACATGGGAATAAAGTCAAGGACATGCTATAAGA